TAAAAATATTGTTACTGAATCATTAACTTTAGGAGTTATCTAGCGAGTTGCCTTCATGTCTCAGGTAGAAACTGAGATCTAAAGATATTTTAATTTTAGTGCATGGTGTGTGTGTGTGTGTGTGTGTGTGTGTGTTAGGAAAGCCTCAAGACCACCCAGTTAGGATGATTTGCTAGGAGTACTAATAGGACACAGCATATAGTTGTACTCATGGCTATGATTTATTATAGTGAAAGGATACAAATCAAAATCAGCAAAGGGAAAAGGCACATGGGACAAAGTTCAGGGGGAAACCAGATGTAAGCTTTCAGAGTCCTCTTTCAGTTGAATCACACCGAAAGTGCTTAATTCCCCTAGCAATAAGTTGTGACAACACATGTGCAATGTTGCCTCTAGGGAAGCTCATTAGAAGGGGTTTTTATTAGGGATTGATGATCCCTCTGCCTAGCATGTGCCAAAGTTCCAGACTCCCAGCAGGAAAGAAGGTAGTCAGCATAACTGGATTGTTTCTATGAACAGTTTAGGTGCGGTAATCTGTACCTGATCAGTTAGGGAGGGTGGGAACTCTCCTGAAATCCAACTTCCTAGGCACCAGCCAGCCAAGGGCCACCTTGCTAGTGGGCCTTTTAAGATAGTCATTTAGGCCTGCTATGTTAACTCTTTTCTGCATTCTCCGTGTGTGTGTGTGTGTGTATGTGTGTATGTATATATAACACTTAGCATGTAGTGTGCTTTTATTAAATGTTAGCTGTTTTTATTTATTATAGGGATTCTTCATTGATTACTACTCCTATTAATTATGATCTTCTGCATTCCTAGGAGGTAGGTTGGCCAGTATTTTGATCTTCATTTGATCAATGAGGAGGCCAAGGCAAAGAGAAGCCTTGGCACTTAATTGACAGAGCAGGTATCAGAATCTAATATGTTCTTTTTGAAAGTCCATAGGAAAAAGTTGGGATTTTTTTTTTTGCCTTGTTGACATTTCTGGAGGGCATTAGTAAAATAGGAAATAGGATTAAATATTTAAGTTAATGTCATGTTGGACCAATTCATGTTTTATATTTAGCTATATAATTTTTGAACTTTTGGGCACAATGTCATTTTATGTAGCACAGTTCTGTTGGGGCAAAAAGTGATCTTGACTATTTAGTATTTTGTATTCTTAATGAATTAAACATTATTAATCTTAATCCAAGATTAAGCTAATCTATATCAGTACTGATTTTGCTGAATGTAAATTGGTACTTTACCTCTACCCTTTACTCTCAAATTATGTTACATTTACTCTCAAATAAGTCAAGGCGTAGTAAGATTTCAGTCACTATGCCTTATATATGAACTTTGAGATTTCTTAATAGGTATCCCAAAGTGAATTTAACTTTTCATGTAATATACTTATCAAAGCAGTTGGATCATTATCTTTGTTTCTTGTAAGTTGTACTTGCAAGTAAATCAGACCAAACCACAATTTCTTTATCTCTCCAACACCAGAGACAATTTTATAGTTATTAGATTCTGTTGTATGCCACTCTACTGGCTGAAATAGTATATAGTATATTCACTGTCAATACACTCATTTGATGCTCATAATGGCCTGTCATGATAGGTATTAGTCTGATTTTACAGAAGAGGATATAAGTCATAAGTCAGTCTTAACTTATCCAAGGCTCTGGAAACTTCTAAGTTGGGGATCAGGCTTTTAACTTTGTATTATTTACATAATATAATGAAGATGGTAAGCTCTTTGGACATTTTTGTTCTAAATGTTAGCAAGAACCATTTTAGAGAAAGCAAATTATCCAACAGTAATTAAAATTTTCATAGGGGCGCCTGGGTAGCTCAATCGGTTAAGCGTCTGACTCTTGGTTTTGGCTCAGGTCATGATCCCAAGGGTTGTACGATTGAGCCCCGTGTCGGGCTCCACACTCAATGGGGAGTTTGCTTGAAGATTCTCTCCCTCTGCCCTGCCCCCTCCTTCTCTCTCTCAAATACATAAATCTTTAAAAAAATTTTTTTCGTAATTTCCACCAGGCCATCACTAAGAGATTTTTGGTACCTTGTAAATTTATAAGCCTGATTAAGATTATGCTCCTTATGTTGCTCCCCAAATAAAAATATTTAGATTTTTTTAAAGTACGTAGGAGAAGAATCTTATACTTTGTACCAGAAGAAACTATGATATTTGCTATTATATCTTGGCCTGAGGAAGGTCTTTCCAAATATACAAAATACTGAAGCCATGAAAAAGGAGTTTGAGTAGTATAACTACATAAAAATAACCACTATGAGCAAAGTCAAGACAAATGATAAACTAGGAAAAGTGTTGGTAGTCATGTGACATAAGGCTAATTTTCCTTATAGAGAGCTTTAACAAATCAAGAAGAAAAAGTTAATATAAGGAATAAAGGAAATGCATAGGCGTTTCATTTCAAAGTAAACGCAAATTACTCAAACATGAAAAGTACTCAATTTCACTCATAAAATATGTATATAAGATACAGAATTTCACCTGTTAGATTGGCGAAACTAAAAAGTTTCAACACTCATTGTGTTGGAAAAGATATAAGGAGATGACACTCTCTTGCATTGCTGGTGGGGCCTAAGTCAGTATAGGCTACAAAAAGGAAGGGCGACTTGGTATTGTCTACCAAAATTACAAAAGCACATATGCATATATTCTTTGACACAGTAATTCTGATTCCAGCAATTTAATCTGTGAATATACTTGCAAAATGATATACATGCAAGATCATCCATGAGAGCATTGTTTGAATAGTCTTTGGAGATTTAAACTCCCCTTGATATCTGTATTTTGGTCCTCCTTTTTATTCTTAGTATTACTTCGTCTTCTCTTTTTTTTTTCTTAGAGGTTGGTTTATGGCCATTTTATAGTTCTGTCTAAAAGATGGAATCAGCCAGCGCTGTTCATTTTAATCAGCAGAAATCTACTCTGGCAAATTTAAGCAGAAAAAGAATTTACTGAGAAAGAATAGTGGGTAATCCAGAATAATCAGCCAGGTAGCCAGAAAACTTGGCTTGGAAAATAGCAACTAGGATCCGAGAGCAAAGTCTGTATAATATGAATTCTTTGAAAGTTCTTCATGACCTGGTGTATTTTTAATTGTTCCTTGTTTACTTTAAGGAATATATATTCTATTTATTGGGTGCATACATATATATAAATATATTAGGATCAAATCTGTTGATTTTGTTATTCAGTTTTTCTACATATTTACTACCTTTTGGTCTGCCTGATCTGTTTTTAATTGTGGTGTGTTAAAATTTCTTGCATTATTTTAACACACCACAATTAAATTATCTTAATTAGTTTTTGCTGTGGCGTATGTTCATACAAGTTCATGATTGTTATATCTCCTTTTTGGATTGCTTTTCTAATCATTATGTAATTTCCCTCTTTATTCCTATTAACGTTTTTGGTTTTGCCATGTACTAGTTTTGTGGCCTTAGGCAAGTCATTATCCTCTCATTTTCCTTATTGTAAAATGGGTATAATACCTACTTTATAAAATTTCTGTGAAGATTTGCTGAGAAAATATATATGAAGTATTTTACACGTGATAGGTTTTCCATAAATGGATTGAAAGTACTTTTTTGCCTTAAGTGTTCTTTTTCCTCTCTCCTTCTCCTTCTCTATTAAAGTATCAGATTTTAAATACTATTTGCCTATAATTGGAAATGTGCTTAAGGGATATGATTAAAATAGTCATCAGGACTTTTTTTTATAAGTGAGTGAAGGTGGTAGAATGTTTGCCTCCCACACCAGGCGTCTGACAATTCTCTAGTACTTGTAGGCCTTTAAGTTACTGTTCCTTGCTTTTGCATTAGAGCCCGTGTTTCTAAGTCTCTTCCACATTTCTCAGGTGTACTAAATAAGAGTCTTCCAGAATAGTTGAGTCAACTGAAAAAGGATAAAAGTCAACTTTTTAAGGAGCCTACTTTTTTACAACAAATATTTGTCAACCTCAATGGGATATAGAGTTCTTAGTAAGTCTTAAAATTAATACTATATTTTGATCACTACATGTACAAAGAAGTATATAGATGTGTCATGTACATTTAAGGAGGCAGAAGTGTGTACTTTCTCCCTCCTTTTTGATCGCATTTAGAACTTGTCTTTTATTCCTATTCTTCATTTGGGTTTTTATCATCTATTTATATTACCAATGTGTGTTGTGTGCCTTCTGTGGTCCTGAATATCTTGGATTTAAAAATATGTAGAGATAAGGGAAAAAAGAATGTCAGCTGAGAAAACAGCACAGAAGGTTTAAAAATATATGGCATGTGTCTATTGTAACTTGATAGTCAGGGTTAAGAGATCCAGTGCTGGAGAAAGAAGAAATTGTGATGAAGTTGTGATTCATCTTTGGAGAGCCTTGAATGACGGGTTGAAGAGTTTTGACTTTATTCTCTAGGCCAGTGAAAACCACAAAGGCTTTAAGGATAAAAAATCAGGTTATATACTGAAAATATTTACAGGCTGTATGCAAGAAAATACTCTGCTGGCAATATTGAAAAAGAGGAAAATACAGTATTATGAATAAAACTTTAGCTCGTTTAAAATGTTACTTGGTAACATTGAACTAAGCTTTAAATAGGATTTTTTCTTAAGGTCCTTTAACATGTGACTTTATCAGTGAGGCTCTTTCAGACCGTTCTTTATAAAATAATCTTTTTCTTTCATCCTACATTTATTTTTCTCTGTAACACTTTGTACTACCAGTTGTATTATATGCACACACTTGTTTGTTTATTGCCTGTAAGATTGTAAACTCCATGAGAGCAAGGGCTTTATTTGTTCAGTGCTTCTCCCCAGTGCTTAGAACTTTAATAAATATTTGTTAATGAGTGAATGAATATTCAAATTAAGATGACCACAATTTTTTATGTGGTTTATAACGTGGGGAGAGCAGTAGAACAGGGTTTTGGGTTCTTTCCTAGAAACTCCTGTTAAAAAGTGTTTTCTTTTCCCTTTCCTCCAGAGTTTATATTCAGAGCACCAATCAAGTTAAGCAAGCCTGGAGAACTTCGTGAGGAATATGAAAGCCTGAGAAAGGTACGGTATAAACGTGATCACACCACTCATTTTCTTAAAGTAAATTGAAATGATGACATTAAAGAATACTTGGTGGGAGTTTTTGAAATTTACAATGCAGAGCCTGTCTCCATACTACCTTATACTGTAGCTTTAATAGAGGTAGAGTAAACCTTAACTAAGAACCCCTTTTTAACTGTCCTTTCATAGATGAAACTGCAGCTCACCTGGCCTGTCTTATACCTGTCACAATAACTGGCCACCAAGAGGGGTATTCTTGGCATTTATTTACTTACTTATTTAGATTTATTAGAGAGAGAGAGAGAGCGTGCTCCAGTGTAGGGAGGGGCAGAGAATCTCAAGCAGACTCCCTGCTGAGCCCAGAGCCTGCCACAAGATTTGGGGGGAGGGCTCCATGTGGGGCTCCAATCCCACAGTCCGTGAGATCATGACCTGACCTGAGCCGAAACCAAAAGTTGGATTTTTAACCCAGGGAGCTACCCAGGTGCCCCTATTCTTGGCATTTAAATCTTGGTTAAAAGCCAGCATTTAAGCTCTAATAATAATAGCTTGTATTATTTTTCCTTATCTTGCAAGGTTCCTCTAATTCCGTGAAACTGGTGTTATCTTTTGTTGCTTTTACTCTGTTACGTACTGCAGAAGAACTGTAGCTTAGGACAGTAAGGGGGGTAGTAAAATAATTTTCTAGGTAGAGAACATTTACCACTGGGAAAGCTTTTAGCTATGTCCCCATCATCTTATTTTCGATGTTTTCAAGCTTATTGTCTGTGAATCACTTAGAGAATTAAGATGTCAAAAAGGCTGGTAATAAGTATGTTACAAGATTTGTTATCATCCTTCCCCAGCCCTTGTCCTACACCACCGTACCTTACCCACCGTCGTAAATTATTCTACGTGTGTATATTTAGTATTTTATAAAGGTAGTCCACTTAATCTGAATCAGATATCATCATAAAACAGGCGAGACAATAACATTATTGTGGCATTTTACACTGAATGAAAAAAATCAGTGTTTAAAAAGGTCATGTTAAAGAGAAAATAGAGAACTTTGTTTAATTACCGTACATTCTTTGACTTTCTCTTTTAAATGAGAGTGTCAAATGTTAACTTGGGTCCTCATGCTCCTTTTATATTGGAATTGTGAGAGTGTTTTTGGTGTTTAAATCACTTACAAAGCTTTTTTCTACGTAGGAAGGAATTCTTTATAGGGACCACATCAAAAGAACCACAGATTCCTCTTAAATGAAATTCCAGAATCTGCAGCTATTTAATTCTGATATACCTTTTTACAAACTTGGAGAATATGGAAATTTTAAAGCTATCAGCTTCAAGATAAAGAGAAAACAGGGAATTGGAGGTAGAAAAAGGAGGTAAAACAGAATGCATAGTAAGAGTAGAGGTTTTTATAAGCTTTGGGAGAGAGAAAGAAACCTTGGGAACTGTGCTTTTACTCCTTTTAGGAGGGAGGGACAGAAAAATGGTCTGAAAAGCATTTTAAATGGCAGAATGATGTTAAGTGAAGTTAGGACAGTCTTACCCTATGTAAACTGGATTGGGTTTGAAAAACATTCACCTATGTTATTTGGGTTAAATAAAGGACAGATAGAGCTCCCTCCCCCCAACTCCAAGTGCCCAAGTTGCTGGCATCCATCATACAACCTGGAAAATGGAAATTCAAGTCAGAAAATCAAAGGGCACTATATGGCATATCTATACAGTGGAATAATATTCAGCAGTAAAATAGAATGAATTACTGGTACATGCTACCACTTGGGTGAACCTCAAAAAGATGCTAAGTGAAAAGAATCAGATACAAGGAACCACATATTGTATGATTACACTTATAGGAAATGTCCAGAATAGGCAAATGTAATGAAACAGACAGGACACTAAAGGTTGGTTGAGATAGGGGGCGGGAATGAGGGTTAACAATAAAAGGGCATGAGCGATTTAATTGCAGTGGTGAAGATTTTTAAAACTGATTTATGTGTGTTCCACAGCTTGGTAAATTTACTAAAAGTCACTGAATTATACATTTGAGGTGGATGAATTATATAACATGTAAAATATGCCTCAATAAAGTTGTAGAAAAAAATTAAAAGGCACTAGACATTTGGATGGAGACCTTGATAGAGAAAAGGTGTCTCGTAGAGTATGTATTTTCTAAAACAAAACAAAGTAAATATCTATTTTAGTGGATGAATATTTAGGGAAGGAAAATCCTTAAAAGTTTCTGTAAGCGGGGCACCTGGGTGCCTTTGGTTCAGGTCATGATCCCAAGGTCCTGGGGTTGAGCCCCACGTAGTCCATGCTCTGCTCAGCAGGGAGCCTGCTTCTCCCTCTTCCTCTGCCCCCTCCCCCCTGCTCATGTGCTGTCTCTCTCTCTGTCAAATAAATGAATAAAATCTTAAAAAAAAAGTTTCTACAAGCAAGGGTTGGTGAGTGGAAATTAGTTCTATACAACTCATCATTACTATTTTGATGCGTAACATGCTAGTAATATACTTTTTATATGGTATATTTTATTTTGTTTAAGAGAGAGTAAAAACTTTTGTAAGGGCTATAAAAAGTTAATAAGAATTTTATTCTTCTAATTCTCGTTCTTTTAAAAGATATTTACTTAGTAATCATAGATCCTCCTACCTGCGGGTAGTGTTACACTTACTAAGGTTACTATGAGTTTCTGAATTGTATGATTCTGTGGATTTATATTTCTGAATATGTTTAAAGTTTTCTTCTTGCCCTATATCATAGGTAATTTTGTTTTCTTAATAAGAAAAACAAGGCAGGAATATGTAAAGTAAAATGTGAAAGTTCCTCTTTTCCTTATTTCTCATTCTCTTCACCATAGTTAACTAGTATCGGCAGTTTAGTGTATATCTTAGGTCCTTTATATACTTACACACACACACACACACACATATACACATATGCTTTAGTCTTTTTCAGTATAAATGAGATCGTTATGTATATTGATTTATACATCAGATATTTTTTGTGTCCCTACTGTGTGCCAGGCATTGGGGATATGGTGTTGAAGAAGACACCCAAGGTCTTTGCCCAGGGAGATTCCATTCTAGTGCAGAAGACAGTAAATAATTAGCAAACAAATACTTACTATATATTAATAAGGTAGGATCAGAAGAGTTACAGGGGAATGGAGAGGAATTCAATTTAAAAAGGGACACAAAAAGACTGTAATCAGGAAGGTCTCTCAGAGAAGGCAGTGTTTGAGTTGCTGTCTGGAAGAAGTAAGGTAGCAAGCCAAATGAAGGTATGAGGAAAGAAGATTCCAGGCAAAGGAGCAGCGAATGCAAAGACCCTGAATAGAAACAAGTTCGGCTTGTTCAAGGAACAGTGTGGCTGGAGCTCGAGTGTGCAAGTCGTGGGTGGAAGGGTGGTATGGGGATTTGGTAGGAGATGAGTTGGGAGAAATAGAAGGGCCAGATCAAAGAAGGCCTGGTTGACCTGTTAAGGAACCTAAATTTATTTTAAGTGTGATGGGAAGCCAGTAAGATGATCTGAGTCATACTTTTTTTTTTCCTTTAAATTTTTTTATTGTTATGTTAATCCCTATACATTACATCATTAGTTTTGGATGTAGTGTTCCATGATTCATTGTTTGTGCATAACACCCAGTGCTCCACGCAGAATGTGCGCTCTTTAATACCCATCACCGGGCTAACCCATCCGCCCACCCCCCTCCCCTCTAGAACCCTCAGTTTGTTTTTCAGAGTCCATCGTCTCTCATGGTTCGTCTCTGACTCATACTTTTAAAGGTCTCTCTGGTTGCGCTGTAGGGAATAAACAGTAATGGGCCTAGGAGTTAGGAATTGTATTTACTGTGAATAGTAGAGACCCAAAAAAAATGACCCAAACAAATTAGGAGTTTTATTTTTCTCAAGTAACAAAAACCAGATATAGGCACCCTAGGGCTGATACGACAGCTTCATGACATCAGGAAGTCAGGTTCCTTTTGTCTTTCTGTTTAGACATCTTCAAGTGTGCCTGTTTCCTTGTACTGTGGGATGGCTGATCCTTCTCTAGAATCACATCTAGACCGAAGGAAGGGGGAGAAAGGCACATATCAGCTGAATTGTTTTATTTATTTAAACTTTTAAAAATCTTTATTTTATTTTTTTTAAGCTTTTATTTATTTGTCAGAGAGAGAGAGCACAAGCAGAGGGAGCGACAGGCAGTGGGAGACGGAGAAGTAGGCTCCCCACCGAGCAAGGAGCCCGATGTGGGACTCGATCCCAGGATCCTGGGATCATGACCTGAGCTGAAGGCAGACGCTTAACTGACTGAGCCACCCAGGCATCCCTGGTTTTTTTTTTTTTTTAATTA